AAAGTTGAGTATATGTATAAACGCAGGCCGGAAACGGGAAGCCTGGGCTAAAAGTTAACTTTAATTTTATCACTCATCTTGCTAAATGTTAAAGATTAACTATGGTGGTGCAAGAATGTATTATGAAATGTGGCTTTTTGCTGGAGAAGAGATAGCAGTGAAAGTTCTGTTCTGAAAGGTTTTTGACACATTTGAATGATTGTTTTATCCTGTTCTTTTATTTACTATAAAACTTCAACATGCACTAATGTACTATGTGACGTCTTGTATTCTCATTTGAGACGTAGTGCAGAAAAACACGGAAACTGGATGAAAGCAAACCAATTTTCTAACGTATTGTACAACTGTCTTGCAGCACCGCCTTCAAGCATAAAGTCTCTTACATTTTTTTTAAATTGCCTAATCAAATGCAGACTCTGTTCCAGTCACGCTAAATTTTCACATAATGGCAGAAAAACATTTTTTCAAGCCCAGCACTGAACATTTGGATCACATTATTACATTTGCTGCTTTTGTAGTTCATGGGTGTACATTTGTAAATGTATCATATACACACACGCACGTCTGTTTGGAGCTGGGGGATCTGCTCTTGTGCTGTGACCCACTTGAGGAGTATCCCTGATGCAACAGGCCACCTCTGGGTGTTGCAGCTGGCTCTGGTCACTGCTCTACCATGAGGCTTTACTGAGAGCAGGTGAGGTTTCGAAGATCAAGGGATGAGGAGGGTGGCCAGTAGCCAGGCACTCTTACTCTCAGGTTACAATGCAACACTGGGACAATTTCAGGAAGATATAGCCTATACCTAGGATCATGACGGTTTGCATTACCCCAGCACCTCAGAGGCACTAATTTCTTTACTCTCAGATGTAGGGAACTACTGCTATCTTTTACAGAGAAGCTAAGCCCTGCTTCTCAAAGATACCTATATATTTCAATCACCCAATGAATTCAATGAAACCTAGGCTCACACATCTTGCTCACGATCATACTGGAAGTCTGTAGTAGAGCAGGAGCTTCTGCATCCTAGGCATCACCTCCTTAACCACTGAGCTAGTTTTTCCCCCCATCTGGCTTCTCTTTGTAATTACTATTATTAGTATTTAGATTAATATCCCACATAGGGGTATAATGAGCCATCCTCCTCAGTCCTTGTGTTCCAACTAGCACCAGCGTGAAGATATAATGAGGCCCTGGGCAATGCAACACACAAATCTGTGTATTCATCTCTGTAGCGTCACAAAATAAACCTATATTTATGTTGTAAAAAATGAAATAAATGCATGGTGCAGCTTTCCTGTACCAGGCCACTGGTTCAGCAAGTTCAGTATCCTTTCTCTGGCCAGGAATAAAGCCTGGTGCTTTAGGGGAAAGGAAAATACCCACAGCACACCTAGAAAAATATGCATAACTGCGGATGGGTGAAGGAGGGGAGTGTCTATCCTGACCCCTGCAGGGAATCAGTAAAAGCCCTAAAGCAAGTGATTTGATTATCTTTGTCCTCAGTTATCATTAAATCAAAAATTGTATTGCTAAAAATATCTGCACAGCATTTACATTCTGAAAGAATGTGATTTAGTCAGCAAAAAACAAATGACTAGCTTTTCAGTGTTTAATCACTGATACACACGCTGGATTTAAGAAACTGACACACACAAGCAGATCTGTGAAAATTGAAAGAAACCATTCAACTCTGTGATACAATTTTTTCTTATTGCTCCTTTCATAAGGCACCTGGGGACATTGTTCTCTCACTGTTGACAGATTTCACACCACTGGTTTTCCACTGTTATCCTTCTCTCTCTCACCTCAGCACTCTTTCACCAGGTGGAAATGCCTAGAATAGCTATATTTGCAACTGGTGTCAAAGCAGGCTCCCAGCCAGTTCTGGGAAATGGAAAATGATCCTGTGCTGGTTTGTTGATTATTTAATCCTAGACATGGAAGGGTTACTTCTATAGAACATCCAGCCTACTATGCCCTGGGCAGGACTAAGATATTATGCTCATTTATTTAACTGTGTACTTTGCAACTGTAAAGACATGTACAGCAGTTATGTCCCTTATGTATTTTTAAGTACAACTTACCATAATAGGCAGCGTAATAGCCACTTTACTTAAATTTTATATGTTCAAAACATCATCTTAGATTTTAATGTTGAAGTTTTGCCCCTAAATATGCATTTAGGACCATATTCTGGCATTTCAAAGTTAAATACACATATAAATTCCTTTCTTTCTGTTTCATATACAGTATACTCCATTTAAGTGCATCGCCTGAACTAAAACAAGGTTACACACTTACCCAGAGCATTTACCCAGCTCAGTGTAAACCGTGTTTATGTAAAAAGGAACAGCACCTAAGCACTCTGCATCTCATTTATACAGTTAAATAGAGTGTAGTCATATTACTAAATAAAAGACAGTGGAACTAAACTTAAACTGTTTATGCTGATATGTAGATAACCATTTGTATAGTGCAAAAAACCCAGTGCCAAGCTAAGCAGTATATGTAATATTATATGAGTATGAGGAAATTAATATGCATATGAAGTGGGTATCAAACTCACCCACTGCCTCCTGACCCTCCCTGGGGCTGGATCTGGACTGCACAGCTCCTCACAGGACCCACGTGAATGTAGCATTAAAGGAGCCACAGGTAGGGCTGTGCGAAACAGCTGTGTTTTGATTCGGTTTCATATTCGGCTGTTTCGGAGGACAGTGATTCATTTTGGTGTTTCAGATCACTGTTCTGTTTTGTTTCAGCCGAATCTGTTTCCAACGGGCTGCAAGGGAAGCTTTGCACAGCCCTACCCACCTGGGCAGGGCTTGGGGCCCCAGTGGGGAGCAAGACGGGTGGCTCATCCAGGGGAGAGGGAGGGTCGCTGCCCTCTGTGCAGGCGAGGAGACCCCCTGCGTGGATTTCTAATCCCTGTCATGCCAGGTCGCGGGGCAGGGAAGCAGCGCAGAGCAGCGAGCAAGCCTGCTGGTTCCTGCCTTGCAACTCCTGGACTTGACTCTGCAGGGAGCAGAGATCCATGCTGGGGGTCTCCTTGCTGCCAGTGCCCACCCCGCACTGCCCCAGAGATGCGGGGCTGTACAGGGTGGGCAGTGGTAGTGAGGAGATCCCAGCGCAGATCTCTGCTCCCTTGCAACTCCTGGACTTGACTCTGCAGGGAGCAGAGATCCATGCTGGGGGTCTCCTTGCTGCCAGTGCCCACCCCGCACTGCCCCAGAGATGCGGGGCTGTACAGGGTGGGCAGTGGTAGTGAGGAGATCCCAGCGCAGATCTCTGCTCCCTGCGCAGCCGAGTCTCACGGCAGGAACCAGCATTGCCTGGCCACGTGACCTGGCTCTGCAGGGAACAGAGATCTGTGTGTGTCTCCTCACCACCGCTGCCTGCCCCGTGTAGCCCCTCATCACTGGGGCAGCGTGAGGCGGGCAGCAGCGGCCAGGAGACCCCCAGCGCAAATCTCTGTTCCCTGCGGAGCCGAGTTGTATGACAGGGAAGCACCATACAGCTGTTTCCCTGCAAGCCCGGCTCCGAAACGCTGAAATTTTCGGAAACATTTATGAAACATTTCGGATGCCTTGTTTCATTTTGAAAATGTTTCTAAGCCTTCTGTTTGGCTTCTGTTCGATTTGGATTCGGTGTTTCAGGCACCAAAACGGCTCAAAACACCTCCAAAATGAAATGCCTGCCGAAATTTTGCACAGCCCTAGCCACAGGGATTAACACAACTGTTGATCACCTACTGCTGCCAACGAATGTCCCCAATGTAACAAATGGGGCTTTGCACCCTGTTTCTGCTTGCCCTGTCTCTGAATTCCCAGCCCTCCAGGAGCCAGTTCTATGGGCTAGATCTGGGCTGGGGCAGCCATATGTTTGACATTCCTACTGTATACCATTTGGAAAACCAAACATATATCATGCTTGGGTAGCTTTTGACTGAAGTTATATATGAACAATGACATCAAACAGAAGCACGTGAATTTCCTTGACCCTAAGGTACAAATGTGTGTGGTAAAACACATAGTGGCATAGCAGCTACATAGCCTGTCCATGCTGATGTTCCGGCTGTCTAAATAACAGCTGTATTCAGTGTCTGCTGCTGGTGCCAAGAAACACGCTTGGGAAACGGGACAAGGGCACAGTATGGATCTTTACATGGCAAGAGGAGGGAAATGAATCTCAATGAAGCTGAAATATAGAGAGGTACTTTTGGAACGGAGTGATAAATACCATTTGTTTTGTGTCACAGTATCCTGAGGGAGTCCTACCAGAGAGAAGCATAATTCTAATATGTTGCTACTACTTTGTGTAGAAACTGTTGTGGGTATTTTGGAAGCAAAGAGATGAATTGTATGGCTAAGAAAAAAACTGTTAATAGTCAATAATGACAGGAAAAAAAACCTATAATTATTTTTTGTCATTCACTCCTGAGACTTCAACCGTACTTCTGATCAGCCTATGATACTGGCTTCTACTGTCCAGTTTCTTAGAGCAAGCACCTTCAAGCTTTCCCTCAACCTTTGGAGGATGCTCCATAAGTACCCACAGATTTACTTGCTATTTTTCTCTAAAGTCCTCCTCAAAGGTCTCCTTTCCTATGATATCACCAAAAAGCTTCACTAGTTAAGGCTGCTACAGTGCCCAAGTGCCTCCTGACCAATTTTGTGTCATAGTTTCCTTGCACTTGCACGTCTGTGTCCTTTACTGGCCTCTCATTTTCCACTGTAAGCTCTCTGGAGCAGAGACCATTATTTGGTATGGGTTTGTATACCACCTAGCTCAAATGAGATCCTGTCCCATGTTTAGGGCTCCAAGTATTATAATAATACAAATAAATAAAAATGATGAAACATGATTCAAGAAGAATAACTGTGTGCAAATATGCCCCCTGCAGTGTTAGTTAGGTCAGAAAGACCAAGGACAATCTGATCAACGCTGTCCAGCAACTGATTTCGTTTACAAGATTTGTAAACATTTTGGGCAGAACGAACCTCACTTGCTCGCTTGAGTCCCTTGCTCCTCTTCTTTTTTCTGCCCTCTGCCTCTCCTTTTGGTAACACCTCTTGACCACCTCAGTTCTTGCAATAAGAACTAGTTCCTAGGAGGAAAACCAAAGATTGTAAATGAAAGATATTTCTGTTAGGTCAATTTGTTTAAATTATTCAAAAATCTCATGAACTAAGAATAAAATAGAGCTATGACTTTTTTTCACCGGCTGGCTACCTGTCTTTCTTCACACACTTCAGGATTAAAGCAATAAACTCTCTAATCTGCGTAGTTTTTTTATATTATGTATATAAATCTGTAACCCAAACTGAGGAAAGCATCTGTTGCAACTATTAGGCTCTGGGCAAAAATTCTGCAAAAATCACGTTTCCCGTTGTAGAACTACAAGGGCTTTTGCAGTAAGGTGTGAAGTGCGCAGCAGAATTGCCTGTCCCTTTCTGTGCTCTTTGGCAGTGTGAGTTAAAGCAAGTCCTTTCTTCAAAGTATGCTGTAGTCTCCAAACTGAAACTGAGCAGGATTCAAGGAGCATGTTCTCAGTCAAGTAATGACTGAATTCATCATCACAGTTTAAACAACAGGTTAACGTCTCCAAGCTACAGCCTTTAAAATCGTCCACTGGTGCCTTTCCGTCCTAGCAGCCATTTTGTAACTTTTCTGCAGGTGTGCCCAGTGAGCTGCATCAGGGCAGGGCTAAGCCTGCCAAATAAAAGAAACTTCCCGTTCTGGATGTTAACTTTAGTTACCATAGCCAGACAATGCTGCCAGTGGTGTGGAAGAAAAAATTGCTGTAGCCAGCTGTGCTGTTCACAGTCGGATGGTTTCTGTGTAGCTCCAAATGGTTATGGAGCCAGTAGCCTGTTGTGGCTAAGGACAGAATGATGGATGATCTACACACAGTGTCCAAGTAGAAAGAATGGCAGAAGTTCACTTCAGGGTTGTTAAAATGCTAATCTGGGTTAGTTAACAAAAGCCTAATGGAACAGAAAAGTTAGGGAAATAAACACACCTCATATGTTATATATGTGTGCTACAGATTTGATCTCTGTGGTTACACAAACATTTGCCTTGGGAAGTGAGACAACTTAACAGTTTTCCTGTTTGAATAAACTGAATCAACTTTTGTTATTAGCTGTACTGTAATTACTGTCAGGGAATGACAGAGGAAAGTGGGCAAAGGCAGACAATACACACAGCTATTGAAAACAGCATCATAAGGCTAGTAATATGACTTTCACTGAACGTTTCTTCCATGTGACATGGGAACAAATCAGAACATACTTTTCTTTGAACTTGAAGTTGGCAGCTATTCACAGAATAAGTAACAACTTAATAAAATGGCTTAGATGGATTTTAACCGTAACTCCGGTAGCTTATCTGATACGCAGAAAAGAGATCATCTGTTCTATCAGCAGTTTTGATGAAAGCAACATTTGAACTCTTAAGTACATATTAGACTACTAAGACTTAAAATAACTTACATTACCTGATGCAAATAGCATGCCTTCCATCATCTCCTCAACTGCTCCTGGAGCAAATTATTAATTTACCCAGTGGGAGAAAGTATGTTTAAATTTCATACTGGAATTATAGGCATGTTTAACAAGTAAATATGTGACCATCCACTTATTTGCTTATTTAGTTGCTAAGCAAGAAACAGGACAGTCTCCCCTCAGTCTCCTGTGTTTATTAAATAAGCAAAAAATATTCCCTGGAAAATATTAGGGAATAGCCTGCAATAAACCAATAATGCAACATTTGTCTTACAAGGCAAAACAGGAAGAACTGAAGGTAAGCTAGTCGCTTTTACTTTGATCACTATAAAATGCATGGTAAGAACTGGCCACATCCCCATATGTTTTTCACTTGACCTTTTGTTGCAGATTTAAAATTCCTGTGTCTTTTGGAGAAAAGACTAATCAAGCTATTCTCACTAGTTACATAAAGGGGGTTGATACTGTTCTCAGTGAAGCTGGTGGCAGAAGTCCTGATGATTCCAAAGGGAGCAGGACTGGGTCTTGAGTTCACGGCACAAACAAAACACCATTCTGAACAGCAAGCTTCTTTAGTATTATGCCTCAATGCAATGAGGCCCGCAGCTGTCTTATTACATAGGTCTAATACATGTTTTAAAGTCAGCTTTTATTACATATGTGTCTTTAACATCTTGTAACTGTTAAGACAGTTCATGTCAGATCTAGGACCCATTTAGACATAGATGTAGTTAACCATTCCATTGAAATGTGTGAACTACATAAGATAACATCCAAGGTAAAGCATCCAAAGGCTAACGTATCTAGTGTCAGCTGCCTCAGATAACCTGTTCAAAAGAGGTAGCAAGGTTCAAATGGTCCAGCTAAAAGGATACCAGTGACTGAAAAAAAATGCAGCTACACAGCTGGCTTGTGGAGCTGTGACAGAGCTAGTCACTGTATTCCCGGCACACACTCCTGCATCATACAAAGCATGTTTAGAAGATGATGTTATCTTTGTTGCCTCCCTAGCAGAAATAAGCAGAGGTAGTGACAGACTGCAGGATATGAAGGAGAAGAATAGTTGTTCAGTGAACAGCCCATTAAATAACCCAATATAAAGACTCTGGGCTACATTTTTGGCTATCCTTTTAAATGTTAATAAATTCCCAGTGTAAGCTCTTTCTTTCAGTTTTTTAAATGGTCAAGCTTTTAAATTCACTCCTATAAAAAGTGTTAAAGTTTACTATTATATAGCCAAAAATCACAGGATGCATCTGGCAATTTGTATTTATTTGAGCAAGTGTAAATGTTTATCCAATATCTGCCAACCTAACAGAATATGCCTGTCACTCACCACATTAAACACAATTAAGTACAGCTTAATTTACTGAATGAGATATGTACGCTTTAGAGGGGCACAGGTTTTTAAAGCACGAATAAAAGGGAAAAAAAAAAGCCTTTGCCCTTTTGCCACACAAGCAATAGCCAGCTTCCTGTTATACTCCTCAAGAATACAAAGAAGGATCTTAGAAAAATTCTCTGTGAAAGTATCTTTCTGAGAGCAGTGTGTATTAGTCTTTGTAGAATTAACAGACGGGTAAACAAAGTAAAACATAATACGGCTAGTAAAAGACCTTTTATGTTTCTGAAACATTAAGAACTGAAATCAGCCCAAAAGTTACCTTGTGTTTTTTTTGCCTGAAAAATACCTAAGGAAATACCATTATTTGACAGCACCCTGACTGATGCTTCAGTGATTGTTTTATGCTGCAAAATAGTTTATACTGCATGTTGGATGTGTTTGCGCACGCATGTGTGTATTTATACACACCCACCCACCCACCCACACAACCATGTGTGTCTATGCAAAAATTACAGTCCTGATTGGCTACTAAGCACTACCTATGTATGCATCATGAACAGTCACTTAACTGCTGATTGATGCAACATTAAATCTCTAACACACACATGGCACACATCCTATACCAAATCCCAATTGTATATATATATATATACATACATACACACACACATGCTCCAGCTGCCAGAATCTCTTAACATGCACACACTGCTTTTATATATATAAAATAGGTATTTTATATGTAAAAACACACACACTGCTACATCAACTCCAAAATCCAGACCCACACACCTGGGCTGGAGGAATATCTAGTGGGTACACACACACACACACACACACTGATACACCAGCTCTCAGTAAAACACACGTGCAGTACACACACACGGGGCATATATTAAATGTCTAACACAACCACACACCAGTAACACACACACACACACACACACACACACACACACACACACACACACACACACAGAGAGGGGTTTCTTTTTATTAATAACAAAATATGTGCT